AATATATTTTGTCGTGTGAATAATTCCCACTTTTTCTGTATGTTCTTGGCAACAAGAAAAAATACGGATCTATTGTTATGTTCGCATTTAGTTGTTAACATATAGCTACTCGTAAAATCCATATAAAAATACAAACTAAATAATACGTAACTATTTTCAACTCAATTTTCGGTCATTTTTTGCACACCTTGTAAAATGCATCACTCACCGTTGGTAATAAATCACAACTCCCACATGCTTTAGCTTACAAAATCATTCGCTGTGACTAATTTATGTCATTTGGGTTTCAAGTTCCACTGTCTTTTAACAATCTTGTTCCGTTCTATAAGACAGTCACTGAGTTATTAGAAGTTATCACATAAGTAATAAATCATGTGTCTTAAATAGGATGCAATACCCAATCTATTTTATTATACACTGGAACTATTAAATCAACCCGGTAGGCACTTATATCCTCGTATTCAGTGATAATAATTTTCTCCTTCAACTTCGTGAATACTTTTGTCCTAATTAAAAACCCATCGGATTCATCTTTCACTCTTTAAAATAGCATTGACGATAACTACAGACAACCTTTCTCATAAAGTCAATTAATTGCCTTCACCTGAAATTAAAATACATGGTTATCGGGAAAAGTAAAATAATTACTTTTATTTTTTGCACAAACGTGGGAAACAAAAAATGATGATCGTGAAGACTTCACGACTTGAATTCCTAGCATTACTGACATTCGACATTTTCAGCTGATGTCTGTGGGATTGCGTGTTTGTATTAGGACAATTCAAAAATAATTCACTTATGATGCATGATTGTTGCTACACGATGCTTTCTATTTCTTGCTCTCTTGAAATTAGAAAACGTTAGTCTTAGGTTTCCTAAAGAACGAATAAAATCATGTCTAATAGTTTTATTAATAGAACAAGCGCATACATAGGAAATGATATTATAAATTCGTTTAATAAACTGGAAATACATTTTCTAAGGTTTCGTGACTCACTTTCACGAAACACTTATCTTGCAAAATTTTTATTTTTACATTACGTGGATTTTTCGTGAAAAGGGTGCACATTAACAAAATTTACATTTTATCTATTGAACGACATATACAACGTCCTCATTTAAATTTTACATACGTCAAGTGTGTGCAATAGCAATAATTTCTACGTCAGGTACATTTTTAGTATATTTTTAAGGTTACTTAAAACAACTAAATCATCATGTGTTTTTTTATTTGTAAATGCTTGAAAATGAAATTTTAAAGCTACTAAAAATCTTGTTTGTTCGTGCAATACTAAGACTTGTGATTCGTTTTTGTTTGGTACATGTTTCTTAATTATAAAACTAAGGAGAATAATTACTTAACTAAAGCAAAACGCATACTTCTGAGCCTACAGCCAAGAATATATTGTGTGTTCCATTGAGCGTCATAGAATGTATTATAAATTTACAAAACGCATCTATTCAACTTTTTGTCAGTTCTAATAAATATTTAGTACATAACTCAATTTTATTTAAACAATAAATTTCAAGCTCCGTAGCTCAATTTTAGAATCAAATAGGCTGTTTCATAATTTAGAAAAATTAGTAAATATGGATATATGTATTTACAAAGAGATTCGAATGTAGTACATAAAAACATTAAGATTAATTGGATTAATATGTGCAATATTATCATAGATCATTAGCACAATACACCAAATCATATGTAAGGATAAACATATAAACAATGATCAAATAATAATTAATTCATTCCCCATATAAGACATAACAAATAGTTTTAGACTTCTTCCATTCGTTGTAGGGTACATGATTCAAATTTGAAAAGCAATCCCAACAAAATTACAAATGAAGGTCTAAGATTTACAAATTTGCAAGCGAATTGTCATTCAGGTTTTTAGAAAGATGTAACTTTTTATCAAATTTGAAAAATAACGACAAAGGTTATCACAACACCATATGGAATACTTTTTCAAAATTGGGTGGTTGATCAGCTTATTCCTACTTTGAACAAATTCCAACGAACATATGGGGTGGTAATGGACAATGCGCTATACCATTCGAAGTAATTCAACAAGCCATCCACACTTTCTAGCAGAAAAAGTCAAATGTTGGGTAGTCACACAGTTGAATTCTATAAAATTTTTCGAAAAAACAATTGTGAAATTTTAAACAACCTTTCACAACTGATCGAAAAAAACGATTTTTGATAGACGGGACATTACGGGAAAGTCAATACAAGTCTATTGAAACGGTAAAACAAGCGTATAACCTTTCGGTCTTTATCCAAAAATAAAGTCGCGAATTTATGCCTAGAAGCTCTTTTCAAATGTACTCCAGAGATATGGCAAAACTTTAGCAAACTTTGCACAAAACTTATTTCGACGGATTGGAGAAACACATGGGAAATCTGTCGTTTGAGAACATTCACGATTTACTAATTAAAACAACGTTGTAGATCAGAATTTTAGAAAATGATGATAATGACGGTTCAAATTTGTACAACGAAATCATGGATGCTGAAGAATGAAGTAGAATTAAATTAAATTATTAGTAAGAGAAAATAACTAAAACTCTTAACATTTAAATGCATTTTGCCAGAGGATAGTCGTTTTTTCAAAATTACAGTACAACAGGTTAAGATTTCTTTTTAGACAGTAGATTTACCATCCGGAAAAGATCTTAGGGTTGCATAACACCCATGAAAAAAAATTACATGATTCTTGCGAAAATACACTTGAAAATTATGATACTGAACTATTAATTAGTCCTATTGGGACAATCAACTGAATTTTTTGCAACTGAAATACACCTTATCACAACTTTCCAGCAGTGTGCGTTCCATTCATGATTAGTTATTACATTCGTTCTTTAGCTAAAAAATAATTTCTAAGTTTTATATAAATATTCAATAAATTTCCAAGTTCTTAATTTTTAATTAATTAGTTTAATAACAATGTTCATAATCTTAAATTGGTGACAACCCAAATCAACATAAAGTTACTAGATTTCCATGGCTGGCTGCGATCTAAAAAGGTCGTAAATGCATTACATACAGGGATATTTACTTAAATATCTAATAGGTATGTCAGAATCAGTACGTTGCTAAGTTGTTGTCGTGAAATATTTGTCATATGTTACATTTCAAAATTTAATAATCACTTTTATTAACCGATTAGATAAAAACTCATAAGAATACACATTAAAAATTAATTTCCGATAAAACCCATAACGAATAATGTTACGGAATTTCGCCAAACAATACCACCAATAAAAATAAAGCATCGTTATATTTAGCAATTAATTACGTTTTACTGTCTACTTTAAATTAGGTACGATAAATATTTTGCCAAACACCAATTATACACATTTTATTTTCACCTGTAACATACCAGAATCGTTTAAAACAATCTAAACAATTAATATTAGTATTCTTTGAACGTAAAAGTACCGATTTCAAGCGTCAGAGTTCATTTATGCGGCAAAAACTTGTCACATTAATTTAACGTATAATTTACAATAGCTATAACTTTGTACTAAATTATTCGTAAAAAGCAACAAATAATGTTCACCTTCATGTTCGAAATGTCTATAATAAATTCTTTATTAACAACCTAAAACAAACTTTGCGTTTCATTCAATTAATGTCATATTAAATTCACGTCTGGTTGCATGAACCTACAATTTATTTGCATCATGCACCATGCCAGTGCCCAATCTAATTTCGAAAATAAACTGTGTTTATATAAAGGGTGTTTCACTTCACTTGATAAACAAATTACACAATAACAAATTTACAAAACAAAGTCTATTTATTAACATCATGAAGATGTTTATTGTGCTTTCAAATATAAAGACTTGTTTTTAACTTTTTTGGAACGATTATTCTCTTCAATACACAACCGCAAAATTTACAATAAGCCACGTAACAAAATTTTCGAGGAACACGGTTAAAGAATGTCTTTTCAGTAATGGAATGTTATGTAAAGTCGTTATTGTTGTCCAAAAAAAGATCATTTCAACCCGATTCCTACAGTTAACATTGTTTTAACCGTTGCTGGAAAACTTTGCTAGAAAATTTTACGTAACCTATTGAAAATGAAACTGAAGGGTTGCCTTTGAACTATTTAATATGTCCTTAGATAAATTAGTATCGTAATTTTTACCGTTCAGTTGACATCAATCCAGCTTTAACATCAAACTTTAGAAAGAGAATAAATAAATCGAATAACTTAACAGTGATGATACACTCTTAAACTATGACCTCATAAAAAACCAATGATGGATCAGTTGCAGTAAAAATTAAATTGATATGCCAGCATTAAGCAAGAATGCAACGTATGAATATATATGAATCAATATTATTAATAGAAATAATTTTAACATTCTTTCAACAATTTGCACAATGATAACCTAATTTACTCATTACTTCAAATGTTTTTAAAAGGTTCGAAGATTCGTCAAGAATATCGTTCAATCTTCATTATTTTTATACCCCTTGACACGTGGAAGCAAAATTTAAAGGTTGGTAGTTGTTTTCCTGCTTTTTGGTGCAGTGCAGAACATCTTGATGTTGTCTTTCTCTTAAAGATAGTAACAACCTACTTAATATTAATTCTTTTAAAAGCCCCAATGCAAATTAGGTGAACGACATTTTAACGTAAGTGATACACACATGCATGACATGATGGCAAAACCTAACTTTCACAGCTACTAGGTCAACACTGACAGAACAGTGCATTACAGATAATGGATATCTATCTTTAGCCAGCTGATTGTGACGTTGTTAGTAGGATACGCGTCAAAATGAATGAGAAAAATTGAGGAATAAAAATTTGACCAAACTGGTTTGTTTTGTTTTTGACCTCACTCATTGTGCTTGTGTCAAATTCAATCAACAGATTTTTTAAATAAATTGAAGCATCACTATATTTGGAATATGATGCATAATGAAGTACTAATGACTTCTTGCAATTTCAGCGACTATGAATCATAAAACTCACCTGCATGCTTCGAGTCGCAAATTCCACACCTATTGTTGATTTTGATTCCAAATTAAATTCATTCCTAGTAAATCGAGACAATAGATTGCTTTTTCCTACCCCCGAATCTCCAATAAGGACAACTGTAAATAGAACATAACGCAAATAGAGGTCTTTCGAAAATTTTCGATGTTATCTGTGTATGACAAAGCTTAAATCTAGCCAAAAACATTGATTATTCTAATTGATACGTTTCGTGACTAATTCATGAGAGTGTGGGATTAGCGAGGGGGCTAAGGGCTCAATTTAAATCGCCCTAATTGATTCCTTGACGTTTTCGTTTTGATTCAAAAGTTGACCTCTGACACTGCTGACTTGTCACACACGAAAATACGTCAAGTGTCAATTACCTCCAAGGTCCACAACGTCAAAATTTGAAGACAAAGGCCAAGAAAAGGCCCTTCTTACCTTTGAACAAATAATCGTATTCGTCGTCTTTCGTGCTCATTTTCTATTCTTTCAGCTGATCCTTCTACACCCTCCCAAAATATACCAAAATAAAAACACACAGGCGATTAGTGCATATCACAAATATACCGTTATTTACACCCACTGTTTATATCACAGACACATTTCATCCGATAAGTTTTAGTTGCGATCGGGATGTTTTATATAAATTTTGGTAATATCTTTTTGATTTTATAACGAACAAAATGGCGACCAACTCTTCTTTTATTGTTCACGGATTAGAACGCCCCTTCGAACTGTCAGATTCTCGTTTGTTTGCGCATGCGTCTGAAATGCCACATTATCAATCAGAGACGAGTCAATCAGTGGCGTGCGGGCAGGGGTGCAATCACAAGGCCGAATGTTTCCAAAAATATATAATTATTTACACACATTTACACTATGTAGGCACTCACATTATAATTTCCTAAGTGCATACGATTTTTGCTATTTGCTTGTGTAATTAAGGAACAACGTTATGACCTATAAACAACATTTAAATCAATAATATATTTAAAACGATAAAAAAATTCCAATAGACTAGAAAAATTATATACTAAATTAATCCATACTTAAGCTAGGAGGGTGTTACAAATTAATTTTAGAATGAGGGAAAATGTAATAAATATTTACCTAAGCATTAAGTTATGAGCGTATCGTTAAAACTAATTGTAACACAGCTTTTTTTTTCTTGAGAAACAAATTAAACATAATGCTCTTACAAAACTATTTTGATTTACTGCAAGATTATTTTATAACGCATTCTTTTTAGTAAAAAGGCAGTGCTTGTTAATTTCCTTGCTCTCCTCAAGTGCTTCACATTGCCATCTAACACTCTACTTGTCAATAATCCCGCAACTGGAAGTTAGTATCTTTAGACCAATTACAAGTGCAATAATCCTTACACTTCGTTGTTATAATTATATTTACAAATTCCTAGAGTATTGTACATAATATACAAATTGCATTAATAATTTATTGTTGCATACAACTGACTATCCATAAAAATATTTCAAAAACACAACACAGAGAAATTGTTTGCAAGGCTCTTTTTTACCTTCAAACTATAAGCGAACACTGGGATCACCCCATGGAGTGCGAACAATGTCAGATACATACATTATATGAATATTTTATAAACTATAAATGCAGTTTGTAACAAACATTCCAACATGTTTGAAATAATTTTACAGACATTCAGTAGATATCACATTTAACGTACGAATAAAAATTAGCACCATCTTTTTAATTTTTAATAATTTATATGCTATACACGTTTTTATTCAAATAAATGAATCTTCAATTGTACTATCAATTCCTTTCGGTTCTCACCAAACATTGAACAATTTGAGCATATAAGGCATTCTCCATTTAGAACAAGGCAGCTATTTGAAGGCTTTGGTTGCAAACAAGCGTCGCTTTCGTTATGTCACATTTTCCACAAAAACATGACGTACCGAAACCGGCACTAAACCATCGATAAATAAGGCCTCTAGACAGTCCTTATTTAAACTAACCAGATACAACGTGAGAGCAAAACATAAAACGCAAATTTCTTGCTTAAAATCTTGCATACAAATTCCGATTGGCAAGAGCAAAAATCTGCGATACTCCATGTTCAGAGGGTCCACCTCCGAACATTTCCAAGAAAATTATGTATAAACTTCACACATACACGGACCCTTGATTGTCATTATCGTCTAAGTTGATTTTATTGAAGGCAGGACCACCTCCGTCGTCGAAAAATCTCCTGAACGTGAATTCGAAAAAGCCGTGGAACGGCTTCGAACTGTCTGTCAGTTCGTCAGAAGTACCAGAATCGATCGATGCCGAATTTCTCAATTTGTCCGGATCGATCGGGTCGAAATTTGACGTATCTGTTGGATATTCTATGCGAGGTATATGCGGGGCAGGCTGACGACGTAAACCTTTTTCAAAGTCTATGTCTTTGAAGAACGGATGTGATTTCACTTCACTAGCATTTTTACCTAACCGTTTGTCCGCACTACAACACAGTTTTAATATCAAGTCAGTGCTTTCCTTCGAAAGGTTTGCTTGCTTTGGTATCTGCAATGTCGTCTCCCAGTTGATCACCTGAAAAAAAAAGAATGATTTCAGAAATTATTTTGGGACACTAATATTAATCAGATTTAGTACCAGTAGCTTAATAAAAGCGTGTATTAGCGATATAGTAACAATATAATACAAATAAGTGAAGAACTACTTGCTTAATTGTTTGCTTTTATATTTAACAAATTAAAAAATATCAAATTATGTAACAAAAAAAATCAGTAAAAACCACAGCAGCCGCAGTTGATATCGTAAACGTGGTCTTCACTTCCGCCGAAACTGAATAGTGGTATTGTAAGGTTTTTTATCATGTTTTTAAAATTGTAAATTCTATAGCAGTTTTGAAGTTACGTAGTCGTTCAGTTAATTTGTTTATTATTTTATTAAATATTAATCAATAAACCAATAGTTTTATGGAAAAAAGCTAAATTATTTACCCAGAACTTCTCTCGGAAGCTTTTCAATGGTGCACACAAATAAGGTGTAAAATTGAAGTCACAGCATACTTTTATTTTTATCCTAGTTTACGCTCGTAGCGCCTATTTGACGATTTCCAATGTTGGACAGATTCAAATGTATCCTTGAAAATACATAAAAAAAATGGTAGAAGTTGATTTCGACAGAAGTTCGGCTTCCCTCTCTGGCTGTCACCTGTTGGTAATTTTATTCAACGAGTAATTTTCGGAACTACTGGGAAGATTGTTGAGAAATTTTAGATTTATTTTAAGAATATTGTAAAGTGCTCACCAAAAGTGTCCGCTCATCCCCACCAAAAATGTGATGACGTCATCTCAAAATTTTACTAAATAAATTGTACTCATAATGTGCAAAATCGTATATTTCTGTACTTGTTGTATTTATTCATTTTTAACCTCGCTCTTGTAAGTTTTTGAAAAAGAAAAAAAAAAAAAAATTAAAATTATTTAACAAAATTTTACAATTTATTTTAGAAACTGCACCACTGATTACTTTGAAATTTTGTAAACACTTTTTGGTTGTCATTAAGTTGATAAATTAATCAGAATTTACTGTTCATCCATTCCAAAAACCTAACGACGTCACTAAAAATTTTCCAAAGTAAATTTCATTTGACATATTAATTAATAATTAATTGGACTACTGAACTATTAACTAACTGAAATAATTCATTAATTTTAAATTATCATATTAATTTAAATAATCCACTACAATGTAGTTGTTAGATTTACTAATTATTATGGTTGATGCGTTGCTGACGTGAGTTTAGAATTAATATTGTTACGTTTGGCGGATGAATAAAATTCGGCATAGGTTAAAACTCAACAATTTATTTCTTAATAACTCGTATTTACACAACTAACTATTGCAGCCATTATATGCAGAAATTATTCCGGTGAATTTCACTCGACGCTCTTGACTCAACTAGCCGAATCCTGCTCTTCCCGACGGTGGCCTCTATTTAAACCTATGCGTGTCTCTCGATGGATCCAGAACGCCGCATCGAGAGTTTTCTCGGCCCGCAATCGAGACTTCCGGTAAGCCGCTCCAGACTTGCCTTTGTGGAAAGCCGCGTCGACACCGTCAGCAATGATGACAACGCCGTGCGTACGTCTAGAAAGCTCTCGACGACCATAGGCGTCGTACCGGGGCGGCGTAAGGGTGTATTTCGTAACAATATTTTTAAGCATTCCTATAACCTGTCCCCCTAATAATTTTGTAGCCTGGAATGAAGCAATTTTTCCGATGCAAAATTTCAGAAATTACATGAATGCTTCCTGGGATATACTTAGATAAGATAAATTGACTGATAAATTTATTTTTTGAAGTATATTCAATCTATAATTAGTTCTACAAAAACCTGGTAAATTATTTACACAGAACTATTCGCATTATGAAGCACAATACTAACAGTGATTAATGATTATGACGTTAAAAAATAATATTTGTCGATCTTACGCAGTTAGTTAACGTCATCGTCATCAGTTAACAGTAATACTTACTAATTAATTAGTAATTACAATTATAATTCGTGTTCAAACATTTTTTGGAAAATTTGATGGTCCTTGCAGAGATAATTAATTAGCGTAGCTTAAAAAAAGTTACAATTGTTATCAGTTGGTTCTGTTATCACGTTAATTCTATAGTTTCCAAAGCGGAACATTAGTCACTTTGGTGCTGGGACATTTATGTTTGCAAGCAATTTAACATGAAATGAATCCTTGTTAAAAGTGAGAGAAAGCTATCCGTATATTAATTAGTCCTACATAATTGAGTATGGTACAGCTCCATTATCAGGAAGCTGAGCTGGGTTTACTGCGAAATATGGTTTCAGTTAAAGAGTAATAACTATGTTGTGTTTCCATCTAAATGAATAAAAATACGTCGAACGGTTATGGCTTGATTTGCAAAGAAACGTCTAGATTTGTTAAAAAAATCTGTATAATTATTTACAGTTTCCTCGCTTCCGAAATATAAAAAAAAAAAACATGTTAGTACACCCTTTCTTAAGAAAATAATTTAATTCTTTTTTGAGATGTCATACATTTTTTGGTGGGAGTTCACATACGAATCGGTTTATAAAAAGGGAATTAAAGTTAATTCGCGATTAATTTTTAATTGAAGTCCGTTCCTAGACACCGTGCATGTTTTAACCAATCACGGGCGCATATTCTACATTTTAATCCTGTGTTAAATTAAATGAACATTAAATATTTAATTCGCTTTCTATAAACCGGCCCTGTAAAGTGAGTCAATTGAATATTAATTATATCATAAACTATTTCGTAATTTCACGAAGATTAGGTAAACTTGTTTTTGAGATAATAAATTGATTCATATAACCATATAACACAAGCGTAATTTTCAGTAAATATTTATTTAATAATATCTGTTGATGATTTGTTCATGTTGTTTGTTCTAGAGGTCATGTAACGTCTAGAAAACATGAAAGTAGCCATTAGTCGGATAGACCCTAGTACGATACTTCCTTAGCCAACACTCGGGAAATAAAAATTGTTTTCTGCAGCTTCCTTGGAAAACTTTTGTATGCTTTTACTTAGAATCATTAAAAATACAAAAAAGAAAATAACACGCTCGTACTTAGCTCATTAAGTGACTACAATGAAATTTCTTAGGAAGCGATGACACTATTCTGCATGTTATTGTGAGGATATACACAGAGCTCCTTTCGCAAGGGAAGCACTGAAAATAACACTTTTAATAAAAAATCTCTTGCAGCTATAAATATTACATTTTAAAAGTTTAATTACTAAATTTCTCCAGTGATGGCAATTTTCTAGATTACTAAAGGTACTTTAATTGAACCTAAATCGACTAGATCTGTTATTAGTTTTAAAAAGTCTAGTAAATTACCTGTGCTTGCATTAGACAAGGACAGTATGGGAATAGAAATTTATTTAACGTATGTTTGGTACTAATGTTAAAAAATTTGCAGCCCAATGACAAGAACACAAAATCAACATAATGGCAAGAAAAAATATCTGCTGTTAAAAAACCGGACAAGTAAGGACATAAATATATTTCTATTTGAAAAATTTACTAGATGCGACACATGTAAGATCAAGTAACATTAGTTGATTAAGGTAATTAAATATACATTATTTTTCAGAGTGTGGCAAATTCCCCATGAACATGAACACTAGACAGGAAAAGGCGAAGTAAGGAAAATGCAACACGATTAAAAAAATGTCAACTGTTCTTTGATTTTTTTTTTTCAATTGTACGAAAATTTCAGGAAAATGGGGTGAGCCGTTATTGATTTGACTAATAAAATGAATTACCTCACTCATTAATATTTCTTCACCCTGTATTAGCAAGAACTCTAAAAAATATCAATGTTTGGATAAGCCACAAGAATAGAGTTCTAAAATTTTGCATATGGTAGATAAGATTTATTCGGTGAAATTTTGAGATGATGTTATCAGTTATTATTTTTTTTTAATTGAGAAAAAAACCGTGTTTACCAGCACGGATTTTATGCAATATGATAATCTTAAAATGTTTGCAAGATTTCACACCATTCGTTTTGAAGTTTTAAAGTTAAATTGTAAAAAGATTTTACAATTTTGATTTTCATCCATGAATCTGAATATCTACTACACTCGTAGGAGTATGTTCATTTATAAAATTTAAGTAACATTTTTGATGCACAATTATGAAGTGACGTCATCACATTGTTGGTGGGGATGATTAGAAACACGTTGGTTTGCGTTTCACCATCCACTCGATTTTTCTAAAATAGATTTAAAAAAATGACAACAGTCAGTCCAGTAGTTTCGGAAATTATTATCTGTCTAATAAAATGTAATACAGACAGCAGACAACAGATAGGCAGGCGGAAACGGGCGGACTATTATTTCATACTCTAACATGTTTTTAACTTTTCACGTACGTAAAGTAAAATTAATCAATTACGATATATTTACATCGTTTATATCGAGGAAAGTAAGCGGCTTAAACACGTTTAAGATCAATATAAACGCAACCAGATTGAAATGAATCGGCTTAAACGCTGTAGTCCAGCCAAAATTCTAGTCGGATTGGGCTCAAGGAAGCCGATTACCTAAATGCAAAAACGATATAAACACTTTAGATTGAACACGCACAGTAGAATATTGTAATTAGCCTAACTTCAGGCGGCTAGATACAGTATTAATAGTAAATATACATGAAGTTATAGCAGTATCTGACAAAGATACCATCTCACCATCTTTGTCGATGTATTCTCACTTCTAATGCGGCAATTAGGACGCTCTTTACCGATATAAACAGAAAAGGGTAAAAACTGGCTTGCTTCAGTTAAGCGACTTATACGTAAGCGGCTTAATAGAGTACGATATGACATAAACGTAGTAATTACAACAAAATCATTTTATAGTTATTAACGCGCTTGAGTTTCAAACTTTCAACTTTCAAAACGTTTAGGTTAATATCTGGGGATTAGCTTCTCTCACGAAAATTTAGGGGTCAATAGCACTCTATCGTCACGGCCTACCCTGTAGGGAAATCGGTGTGATGACAAACATAAACACTATACGGGATGAATCACTAAGTGCGTGGTCCTCGATATCTCATTACTTATTAGAGATAGAAAATAAGTCAAAAATCAAAGTTGCTCGGTTCCTTGAGGACTCTCTTTTCAAATATCGATATTTAAGTTTTTTCAAATAGAACATATTTTGTTACTGTATCTTGCTCTATTTTTTGGTCTCATTCTTCTAATATGTCTCTTAAAAAAGTAAAAAATTGCAGTAACAAAAAACACTAAAATATCGATATCTGAAAAATGTAGATTTCAAAAATAACCCTGCTGCAATTTTTTGCGAACCCTTCCACTGCTAAAAAATTCAAGATAATTGGATTAATGCGGCAACGTCGCATTTTACCCTCTTAGGAAAGGAATTTCGAAAAATCCGACCTTATTCCTTGTGTACATCATAAAGGGAACCTCTGTGCAAAATTTCAGCGCTCTAGGTCCAAGGATTTGGAAGCGCGTTGACGAGTCAGTGAGTGACTGAGTGGTCAGGACTCTTCTGTTTACATTGATTGATAATGAAGACCACGTTTAATTGCTGTTAAATGGCATACAAAGGAAGCGTTGTAGAAGTGTTAATTATTTTTAAATGTGACAGATTTTTTTTAATTGTACTTTAATTAGCAAGTAGAACCATCAACTTACATAGTTTCTATATCGAATTAGTAGAAGCATTATACTCCGTTTACCGAACAGATGGAGTTGTAAAAGTGCGTGACCTTTTAAAACGCTAATGTTATTGGTCGAGGGATGTTAGCAATTGAATTCGGCACGACTGTTTTCCGCTTAGATCAACAGAGGTTTTCCTCTTATTTGTATCTTGGTATAGTCATGCGTACTTTTAGTTTCCCCTCACTTTTCGTGTATTTTGTTTTAATCGTTTATTTGATGTTTCCTGTAATTGACTCTTATACTATAAGCAAAGTGAGTCGACATTATATAAATTCAATGATACAGAGTGAGACAAAATCGCGCAGGCGAAGTCAGATTCAGAAGTTAAAATTAACCAATGAATTTCCGGCTGCATTCTGTCAACTTCAAAAGTAGTTTGTTATCACAGGCATTGGCTCTGCTCGGATACTATTTTCACCGTGGTTTTGAAAATGCATGCGCAACGAAAAATCACTATGGAAGTTTTAGGATCTTACAGGAAAAGGGTCAATTCCGTCTTTTTAAAAACTCTTACTTTGTTCTATCACAATCAATTATTTTAGATTAGTAATGCCTGATTGTTATTTTTAAATTTTAATAAGGTATTTTTAACATTCGGCATTCCCTATGGTCCAAAAAAACTTCAACTGTCATTTTTATATTAACGTAAACTTGGATACTCACTTTGTATGTATGTGGAGCGCAAGTACTTCATCTGTTAGGTAAAAGGAGTACAACACTTTTTTTAAGTCACATATAATATAAAAAGTATACCACGTTGCAAATAAGTTCTTTTATAGTTTACAATATTTTAAAAATCTTACCTTGTGTTGTGTCTCTGCGGGAGTATTTGCGAGGAACGGAGGTTGCCCCACCAACATTTCATACAGGATAACTCCGACACTCCACCAATCACAGACGTGCGTGTATCCTATACGTTGCAACACTTCAGGTGCTATGTAATTCGGCGTGCCTACCAGCGAATGTGCCAAACATCTATGTTCTCTGCGTCTTCTCCTTTCCAACGGTTTCATGCACTTACACTCTTCACCCCAATCTTCAATAGGATCCATAGAATCCTGTCTGTTGTGGTCGCCTTTAACAAACAAGTGAATAAAAGAATAAGTCGTTTATATGGCAAAAATACCATTCGGTTGGTAATATTTTGAATTATGAGTCCATCTAAATCCTGTACATAAACCAAAATCTGTCAACTTGATGTGACCTTCCTTATCAATTAAAATATTGTCAGGCTTGATGTCACGATGGATGAAACCCATCTTGTGAACGCTTTCAACGGCACAAGTAAGTTCGGCAATGTAAAATCTAAAAATAACCCTTAAAACAAACACAGTGTCCCTTAAGAGGACATACCTCGCTAAATGCTCTTCAAAGATCCCTAACTTGATTAGAAGCGACATAAGATCACCACCTGGTATGTAATCCATAACGAAATAAAGTATATCACTGTCTTGAAACGAATAATACAACTTAACAACCCACTCATTGTCAGCTTCAGCAAGAATATCTCGTTCTGCCTTCACGTGGGCCACTTGATTCCTCTTTAACACATCAGCTTTCCTCAACGTCTTCATCGCATACAAATGTTTCGTATCTATCTTTCTCACCAAAGTAACTTCGCCGAACGCGCCCACACCTATCGGCTTTATCTTCACAAACATACTTTTGTCCATTTTGGCTCGTTTGAGTCTTATGTAATTTGATTCTTTCTGAGAAAGCATCTTGCGCATTTGCTTCTGTGCTTCCGAGCTGAGACCGATTTTCGTCATTTCGTTTTCGAGTTGAATTCTTCGCGACATTCTCTGCTTGTACGATTTGATGACGTTCTCGATGTGCTGTTCCATGAAAAATTTGAACGCCTGAGGCGAGTAATTCTTTACTTTACCGTCTCGCCTTTCGTCTTCTTTCTCTTTACTTATCTTTTTACGTTCCGGTATAGGAGATTGATGTTTGATTTTTGTGTATGGAGGTAATTGCGGTGGGATGTCATTGTTTTTGCTCTCGCCGTTTCCATTCACTGCGTTATGATTGTTTTTGACGGATGATGATGCTGTAGATAAAAAAAAATATATTAAATACGGGTTTTTAAATACATATTGAAATAATAAAATTAATAAATGTCTATTATTTTAAATGCATTCCAAGAACTTGTATTGTTATTTACATTATTTAGTAATAATGATATAAATAAACAAATAACAGAGAAATCAAACTAAAAACAAATATCTTCATTTTCGACGAAAGCAAAAATGCTTTGATTCCAAATAAATGTTTTATTGATTCTTTGTAAGAAGTTGTTTCCTATATAGATAATAATTTGATATCAGTGAAGATAAAACATTGTGCATAAAACATACCGGAGAAGTAATTCCTGTAATTCCTTAAAAAAATGTAAAGTCGCACACAAAACTTAACGACAAAGTCGATTCGCACTAATACACCTGATATGTCAAAACAGAGTGACACAAGTGACAAAATGTGACGTAGGTATAAAATTCACTTGACGAATAAGTGACACTACGGTATTAACTTAAATTTTTACCACACTGAATTGTGGCAAAAAAACACGTCTTTTTATGTATAAATTATAATACACGAATCTCCTGAAAATGTTGGGACAAATGACGTTTCTTTGTCGGTAAGTTTTGTCTGCGATTTTATACAACAAAACGAATTGTAAAAACAAGTGAGATAAGTTTCAATTTAAAAACCCTTTAAAATTTAAAGTGACTTGTTTATTGCCAGGCAGTAAAAGGATTTTGACCGAAATATAACATTTAAAACAAAAATTCTTGGATAAGGACAACTAACCAAATTTTTTAATATGTTTAATATTAATATAAATCATACTCCTAATACAGGGTGTTATTGAAAGGTACGTACAACAAAACGGACAGTTCTTCGCGAAGTCTAAGAAGTCGAAAGAACTTATTTTGTGTTATCAAAATTATAAGTGGAAAATTCACCCTTATCCAACCTTTTTAGACGCTACTGAAGGATAAATGGGTAAAATTAATTTATTTTAGTAAATCCTAGCAACTGTAACAATAAAATTTTTGTCAAGACTAAATGTTGCTATAGAAACGAAAGGTGATGTTTTTATCAGAGGCGTACAACGAATTTGGACATAAATTTTAATAATTTTTATCTCTAAAAGGAGAACACTTTTACCTGAACTTTTTTTAATTTTTAGCACCCATACTTCGAGACCAATTGCCGATTTTATTTTGTACGTACCTTTCAATAACAGGCTGTATATAAAATATCTCGACATAAATCAAGATAAACAACCTAATTTTTGTTATTTGTCCTAATATTTTTTTTACTTTTGTCGTTATTTATATAAAATATGAGTTATATGTGTTACTGAATCTTTCTGGTAAGTAAATTTCAGTTTGTGGATCTTTTCCATCTTTTCATTAAATAGTAATCTTTAATAAATGCTGATACACGTCTAGTTATTTCTCTAAAGTTACTAAATAGTACTCAAAATTGGTGTGGCAACACTGTAAACATAGATTGGCGGCGGAATTTTAATACCTACATAGTATTAACTTTTATGTGACAGAAGTTTCAACTAATTGAAATTAATTCCTATATCAACTTCGTATACATATTTTGGATTGAAATAATCGCATAAATACTACACAAGAGTTTAAAAATCTATTATTTATCCTACTATTATCTTCAAAGTCATAATAACGAAACAGCGCCATTTTTTTTGTAAAAAGCAAAATCCTCAAACCCACTGATTATAAAAACCAAAAACCACCCGTAACTTCAATTAATGTAAACGTGCAAAAATTTTTTTAGATTAACGGTTAAAAGTTATAATTTTATTAGACTGATTGACGAATTCACAACAAGCTTGTCTATACAGGGTGTCTCAGAAATAAGTACATTAATTTTAATCAGTTATAGAGCTCATTGAACTCAACAACTTTTCTTAGTAGAGTTTTGTCAAGAACTTTTTAATTATCAAGTTAAAAATTGTCAAAGTTATACCCCAATTAAGGTTACCCGCCCATGCATCCTCAGTTACCCATGGACACTAATAATTATTATAATTAATAATTTATGGTCAAAAACAGTTACTAGGATACGTATTTTCCTAATCTTGTCAATGTGACAAACATTTAGAGAGAAATTGAAAATCCTGCTCCCTAATGGCGTACGAAATTTCAACAGCCCAAATGTGGGTGTTGAACACCTTCCCTCGTGTAACCGACCTCATCAGTTGATGGTATAAGAGATACAAAATTTGCTTGTTCGTTTATTTTTCTATTAACCTACTCACAAAAGTTTTGCCTACGTGGTAAGTCTGTTAGTTTCAATAACTGAACTTTCTGGTCCTGAAAGGGGTACATTTGTTCTCTGAGTATCCTCCAAATACTACTCTCCGATACATCACACTAGACAGTGATACGTGCTAGTGCCCGGTCGAGCTTCCACACTCTTCAAAACAGCCTCTTCAGTATTAGCAATTCTATTACTACGTAACTTACCCCGATCCTGAGGTGCAGGTTTAAAAGATCCGTACTCTCGAAAATACTGCAACGTTCTTAAAACTGCGCACATTTGGCAGACGATTTGGGAGGTTTTCTGAAAAAATTCCTTGGGCGCGAGTGCCGTTTCCCCGAGCTTCACCGTACGTTAAAACGATATCGGTGCATTCCAGATTTGAAAACAAAGCCATTTCAACACATTTCGTCTATAAATTAGAAGTCTGTGCCAAACAAACTTTAAAGAGACAACGTTTAATAAAAACATTGACATAAAAATGATTGTCAGTGTCAAAACGGTTGCTACGGTACCTTCTTCATTGTTGTAGTGTTGCTATTATTTAAGTTATTATTTAAGGTGAACATAGACGGCTCGTGAATATATGGGTGGGAAAATTCGAAATTCGACTTGAGTTTTCGAAAAAATGCTAGATAAAAAAGTTGTTCCGTTTCACGGGTTCTGCTACTGGTTAAAATTAATGTACTTATTTCTGAGACACCCTGTATAAACGCATGGTAAAGCATGTTGGTCATGTCGTGTATTTACTTCCGAAAATCGTTTGCAGAATTGACATGCATGACATAAACATGATGCAACAAACAAAGAAGAAATTTATGTGATTTCAGCAAGTGATTGAATCCATGATACAACGAGAAATTGAATAGAATGTGCGAACAATTGTACCTTTGGTTAATTTTTCTCACGATTGAATCCGCTAGTTTCGCAGGCGTGAATTTACATCAGTTTTATTTTTTACTAATACGGCATGAATTCAAATTTATGTAATAGTTCTTCCTGCTATGTCATCAACTTTTTGGGGGTTTGAGTATAACGCAACTCTTAAAATTTGAGGAAACAAATTTTTCCTGAGATAATTAATAAAACAAATCAGTTAATAGATTTTTTTTAACAATTTGTGTTTTAAATCCATATCACATCTAGAGAGTCCGTTTTGGAAGAGTTATTTAAGACAACGTCGTAATTTTTTTGGTAGAAATAATACATGAAAATATTAATAAGAAACTGTGATTAATACACATAAGCTCTTTATTTACCACCACGTCCTAGTACGTCGATCACAATCTGCTTTGATTAGAAATTTTTACTTCCTGTACGTAAGCTAGGTCCCCTCAGCGAATAGGTAATGATTAATTTTATTTTTTCCTTCGTTTCGCAGCTCATAGAATATGAAAAAGTACGTTTTCCGTTTCCGGTGTCGTTTATTGGTGATTTTATTAGATAAATAATAATCTCCGAAATTACTTACCCGATTACCGCGAAATTTTAGGTTCGTTTTAAGAATATCGTGGATGGTTAAAACGGTGAGCAAAAGTTATATCATCATCCCTACCAAAAATTGCTGACGATCTCAAATTTTTGTAAACCTTTGTCAAATGTGTAAAATAGTTTGTACCCACATTTCTGATCTATTCTTCTACCTTTATTTTTAACTGTATGCATGTTGTAAAATTCCTATAAAGACATTCAAAATTGTATAACAAAATTTTACTGTTCAACTTAGCAATTAAAAATCGATTGAGGTGTAATTTGGATATGTTTTTGATCGTGATATCATGAATCCCAATCCAACTGTTTAGCCAGTTCAAAAAATTGATGACGTCATTTTTATGGTAATATAAACTAAATCGTCTCGACGGTTAATTTCACCGAGACATCTTGTGTAACAAATTCTAAAAAATAAAAACACATCGACTTTACACCTAATCGTGTATTCTTCATTAAAAATGATTTCAAAAAATTTTTGAGATCATAAATTAATACATTTTACTTAATACAAGGTTAGTATTTTTTCAAAAAATTCAAGGACTTGGTTGTAACTTTATTTCTCTTAGTTATACCTTCTTTGCATAAAGTTAAAACCCTGAGATTTAATAATGCATCCTATCATTAAACCTCAAGTAAAGAAATATCTCCCACTAGATCGTATGGTAATCTAGATTCTCCAGTACAAAATTTTGAGATATCAATTTTTTTCGGAAGTGAATAGACAAATTTTTATTATCAATCTACGATCTTCACGAACAGATTAAACTATACTTGAAGTTTTCGAGATTATTCAATACAGAAGTTTCGCAAGCAACTTTTAAAATACTCAACAAATGACGAACCAATTAATGGAAACGAGGAAGCTACGTATTCGTATCTGCCTGTGATACGTTAAGAAATCAGAAAAATAAAACATACGAAATCACTATTTACAATTTATCTTTGTTTCGACCAATAATTTGATTCTTCAATCTTAAAACGGTGGAGAACCAACAATTGTTATACTACAGCTTTTTTAAATATCTCATAATCTCAACTGCAGTTCTAAAACTATATATAACTTATTTGCACAGGTATGAGTCAACGGAGAATGCTACATTTCATACAAGTAGGAAATTAATATTCCATGAGAGTTGTTTGTATGACTGTATACTTTGTAGATTGTTGTAGAGATTTTATACCGTCAGGGCATTAAATATGAGTACAGTGAATAAGTTTAAACAGAAATTCCCTGCCCTCCGGGCACAATCAATTGGACAA